ACACTGCCTTAAACTGAATTTCTGCATTTCGGACAGCCAGTGTCTGGCCATCTGAAGGTCCATGATAGAAGATGACAGCATCATGCTCTTCCTTTGGTGCTGGCTTCCTTACACCATGAGCCTCCTCCAGGATCACTCAAGCCTGAGCCCCTACAGTGCAACCTCCACCACCAACACATCTGGGTCAGCCAGCAGCTCTGAGCATCAAAGGAGCCAAACCTCTCCTATGCTCTTTTTGTTCACTCTTTTCCTGCATCCCAACCTGAGACCTTCACATGAACTCAACTCCTACCCTGCCTTCTGTGTGGCCCTTTAACACAACTGAGATGCAAACCCAAAGACAGTGTGCCTGGGCTCATTTCTGAGAACAGCTGCCTTGGAGCAGCTTCCAAAGCCTCCCCAGAAGAAACAGAGACACAGGGAGCATGGACTGCAGCTAACACCAGGGAGAAAAATGCTTCGTGTTCCCAAGCTGCCCACAATGGCACTGTGGGGGAAGGACATTTCACAGCAATCACTCTGCTACAAAGTGATCTCCCCAACAGTGAGGATAAGATTGTTCTGAATCTTCACATAATATATTCAGTGAGGCTGCCATTAGCTCAGTCTGAGGAAAAAAAATCTGACACGAGTCACAGCAAAATGCAAATACTGAAATTTTTACAGATTAGCTAAAAAGTTTAAGAAATGGGAATCAAGGAGAATTCCTTTATTCTCTTATTTCCTGTTTCAAAAACAAAATTCTGCAAGACCTTTTCAATATGTTCTGGCACAAATCTTTGTATTCCCGCCCATACAGCAAGAGCTTAACTCCATATTGCTACACACACAGTTAGGCAAGTTGGGCTTTGTCTACCTGGCGACACTAAGTTTTATCGCTGCAATTCCTCACAAGGCAGTATTTTAACGGGAAAGGTAGTTGTTAAAAAAGCACCAGTCCTAGAAAAGTCCTAGAATTGTCACAAATACCAAGAATTATTGTCTACCTGTAAGTTTCTCCAAAAGGACAAACTCTAAGGTGTTTCTACAACGATTACAATCACCCACTGAGTTCACAGTTACTTCTCTGAAAAAGCACATTCACAGGTTACCAATCATTCAAAATATGCATTCTCATGAGAAAAGAAACTGCAGCTAACACTACATTCAGTCATGAGCACCTTAAAGGATGTGCAACGCTGCTCACTGATTCAGTGTCCCAGTCCTGCCTGTACAGAGGCAGCTAAGGAAAAATAACCTAACAAACCCAGTCTGCTTTTTCTGGGCTTAGCTGCACACTGAGGACAACCTCTATACTCAACAACAAGAAATAACTTCTCACAAATAGCTAAATGAAAAGAAAAGGTCTTACAGTTGAGCTGTGAGAGACCTTTTTTTCCCTAACCACTGTATGAAAGGAAGTACTGGGACAACTCAACAACAGGAAGCTACATGAGAATCAACACAGACTGACATTCAACTTGTTGAACTGTGACTACACAGCTGTACAAAACATGTAAAAAATATGAGGACAGGAATTCCATAGAAGGTAGATGACCAACTGAAGCACACAGACATTGCTGTAGATATTGTACATTTTATCCCAATTCTTTACAAAGCAAGGCCATGCAGTCATTTGTCCTTGCTACATAAGTTAAGCACACCTACCAGTTTAATCCAAACATTGCAAACTAACAGAGCTCTAAAACATTAAGTTTTAAGTGACCAAAGACTTGCCAGACACAAACGAATGTGTGGATAAATTAATAATATGAGCTTGTGACATGGACTTCAGACTGCTGGCAGCCAAAGTAATTCCTGCAGGTACAACCTTTCCGCCCACCGGTGGCAGATGAACACTGGAAGGCAGCCACCGGGTAAAGGGAGTACTGGGTGAGGTCACTGAGCCTGATGGGGATGAAGACAAGACATTGGGTGCACGTATCAACTCTCAGAGAACTTGCTTTCCTTAGTATACCATCAGTAATGGACCTTTACATTAAAGGTTCCTTAGAGACTAAAGAAAAAGGCTTTTCTAAAAACTGTAACAAGAAGGGTGGATCTGAGAGAGATCTGGCTGTGTGAATGGAGGAAAATACGTAAGGATGGAGTAAGGATGGATGTGAGGCAAGAAAACGGAAGAAATGCGAATCAGTCCACGCTAAGACATAAGAGGGGATTTTTTTGCAACACTGCGCTTTCCTCAGCATGCACTTCTCTAATCTTTATACTACATACAGTAAGAAAAGGACTGCAGTTTACTGAGGGCTGCTGGAATCCCTCCAAGGGTAAAACCCAAACTCAAGTCTCTCGGCAGCCAGCAAGCGATGAATGCCCAGCAGCGCCACTCGTGCCCCTCTCCAGGCCGCGCCACACGGCGGCTCCATCGGGATCGGGGACCCGGGGAGCGAGGCGGCGGGAGGGCAGAGCCCAGGGACAGCGGCCGCGACCCCACTCACCTCCACGGCCGCCAGCTCCGCCCGACCAAGGCCCGGGGAAGCACCAGGGACACTCGGACACAGCGGCCCGGCGGCGCCCTCGGAGCCGGGTATCACCCCGAGAGCCGCTCCGATGTCGGGCATCACCCCTGTCATCCCTCGCCGGAGCCGGGCATCACCCTGGGTACCCCCCCACCCCTGCTGCAGCCCCGCGGCAACGCCCTCGGTGGCCGGGACCACCGGCCCCTCCCGCCGCTCACCAGCTGCTTCAGGTCCTCCTCGGAGAGTCCGGCGTAGCGGTACCGCTGCTGCTCGAACTCGTACCGCGTCGTCTTCACCACCACCGCCACCCGCGACGGCCGGAACCCGCCCCCCGCCGCCCCCGAGGCGCACGGCGCGGCCCCCGCCGCCCCTCGCCCGGCCGCCGCCGCGAAGGGGCTCAGCCCGCCGGGCGCGAGTAGGCGCCGGTGGGCGCCGCCGAGCAGCGGCAGCCACGGCGGGGCGGAGGAAGACACCGTCCGCTGGTGGAGCAGGGCGGAGCGGTGAGCTGCCGCCCGACCGGCGAGGCGGATGCGGCCGCAGGGGAAGCCCCAAGAGGAGAACATCTCTCGGGCTCTGCGCCGCTCCCCGGGGCGGGCACGGCGCTGCCGGCGGCGGCGGCTCCGGCCGCTCTGCGGCGGCGCCCAGCACACATGGCCCGGCCGCGCCCGCCGCCCCGCCCTCCCCGCGCGCAGACGCCAGCCCCGCCAATCGCGAGCTGCGCCGCCGGGTACCCGCCCCTTCTGGGGGCGGGGCCTGAGAGCTCTCTCCGGCGCGTGCGCCTTCCCCGGCCAACCGGGGCACAGCGCGCGGTGCGCGCGCCCCGCCCCACGGCCCGGCGAAATCCTCCTGCGCATGCGCAAAGGAGGGCGCCCCCACACACACACACACACCCCACCCCCCCGCTCCCCGCCCGCCCCTTGCTTGGCCCCGCCCCGGTTGTGGTGGCGCGCGGGACGGGGCGCGAGGCACGTAGGTGGTCGGTGGCGGATGTCCTCGCGCCCGGCGCCCCTGGTGCCGTGAGGGGTGGGAGACCGACCCCGCCGTGAGGGTGCATAACATAACTGGTGACAGTGTCCCCAGTGCTCCCCGCTGCTCCCGGGGCACAGCAGCAGCATCCCCGGTGCTTCCCATGCCCCAGAATGTTCGTGGCACCCGCCCCCCCAGTGCTCCCGTGTGTCCCGGGGACAACAATGCCACCAGTGCCCCACAGGTAGTCTTCAGTGTCCTGGGAGGCAGCGATAGTGCTAAAGAGATAAAGAGGGAGAAATTGGTTGGTCTTAGATTGCGTGTGTGGAAATCTCACGTGTTGCTGCTCCCTGACCTCGGCCTTTGTGATAGCTTTACAGCACCGCAGAAAGGCGAATACGAACTGGTAATAGTGCATTACCGAAACCTCAAGTAGCTTTGGGGAATAGACAGGAATTCTGAGACTAGGCCGTGTTCTGAGACTAAACAGTGTTCCTAAGCAGTGACCGCACACCCGCGGGACAGCGCGCTCTCGTTACTTGCGACACGCCGCCCCGCTGGGGCGCGGGCTCGGCACCGTGCGGGCAGTGCCGGGCAGCCGGGCGGGATTGCCTCTCTGCGGGGCCGGCCGGCTTCCCTGGGAAGCTGGCGGGGGAGTGAAAATAACCTTTCGAAAACTAATTCAGAAAGGTGGGAAAACACAGCACATGCTGTTTTAGAAGGGCTAAATACTGCATCTGGTGTGGAGATCTGGTGAGATACACCAGTACAAAAAAGCTCTTTGGGTTATCCATGATTGTTCTGGTCCTTCTCACATTTGCCAGTGTCAGGAAGGGCAGAAAGGACCTGGCCGCACCGTTACGAGACAGCGTCTGGCAGGTTAAAAAAAAAAAAAAAATTAAATTATTGATCCTGAGTTACTTTTTAATATTATAAGCAAGCTGTCCAGAAATTTTGTGGGGGTTTTAATGATTATCAATAACTGCATACACAGGCATCGACTGCCACAGACGGTCCTTCTGCACTGAAGATTTCACTTAGACACGCATTTCTCATTACTCACACCTTGTTCCTCATCCTCCCTGGGGGAAGGGATTGAAGCAGCAACTCCTGCCTGTCAATGCAGCACTCCTCTACAGTGCTTTGCCAAGAATCTTAGGAAATAGCATAGCTGCAGCCATTCTGCTCTTCACACAAAACAAAGGCTCTCTCCAGTCTTTGCTGGCGGGTAGAAGGATTTTTTTGTCTACTGATCAGTTTAGCCTTGAAGGTAAGTATCACAAAACAGATTACCAGGTAACCAATTAAACATAACTAATTCCCTTGCTAACCAGAAAATGCCTCATTCTGTATAACCATTAACTTCTAGGTGTACAAAGCAGTAGGTAATACAACAACCCGGAGACCTAAAAGATATAAGAGATTTCAAAAATTTATGACTCTGTTTTGAATGGTATCTATTTTATAACTTATTTGACCATTTGGTTGCTCCTCTAAGATTTTGTGCTTTGTGTATTGTCTATTTATATTGAATTGTTTTGATTTTTAAAAATCAAATCAGCTTCAACCATTAAGTTTGAATATGGAACAATATTTTATTCTGAAATCATAATTATCATGTTAGGGTCTTTTGAATTCCCACAGCAAGCTTATATGCATAAAATATGAAATATGTATTTAAAAATGTAAATTCAAATCAGTAGATTGTTAAAGTTCTGGAAACAATGCTGAAGCATGGGCTATGAAGTGATTAATCCATACCTCCCAGAATAAAGTCTCTGACAGGCAAGCTCCTTGTCAGGTACACAGATTGTCTGATTGTCAGATGTCTTTGTAGAAAAGGATTTAAACTTTCTATAACATAAAATACAGTTTGTTGAATATTTCTTACAGTTTGCATGTTGCTTTATAAATAAACCTACTTACAAAATGTTAATTAAACACTAACCCCTCCCTCACTACAATTCTTGATTTGAACATACACCTGATATACAGCAAGAAGACACATGTATCTGTCAAATGACCCTTTACCTATTTTGAGATATATGTCAGTTTGTGATCTATGACATGTCTTCATGCCCCATTTTCAATGACTTTAAAACAATATACCCAGTAGATTAAGGGACAGATTCGTTCATGCAAAATTAAACAAATACAGGTATTTAAACCTGGTATCCTTGTAGAACACAAATATGGACTGGGAGTGAATTCCCACTGTAATAACTTTTTGAACCACTGGCGGACCAAAACCAACTTTGATTTGGGCATAAAGTACTTAAAAATTCTTCATGGAAACAGATGCCTCAATACTGCCTGAAGTTAGAAAAATGCTTCAGAGAAATGCCCATTTTAGACACTAAGGAGTTAAAATACACAATGTAAATTTCAAGACACACATCCATCGAAAACCAGGCATCCTTAGCTCTATCTACTTCAAGTTATATTGTGAACTTTAAAAAATACCTATGTAATACACAAAATATTCTGTGAACAAAGTAACTGGAAAAATTTCTACATAAACAATAAATTATTCCCTAAACAATTTCATTAGCTGCAAAACTGGCAATGCGCACCTGTGCCAGCTGTTTTATGTAAGATAATCTCCATATGTAGCCTATTTCCACCCAAAAGAATGTATATGTTGCTTGTAGTGAAGTTACAATTTCTATTAATTTCTATTTCCTTCATGAAGTCTCGGAATAATGCCTTCTTGTGATAGTTTAATTAATAACTGATATATCATTAACTTATCCCATTATTTGCATTGTGTAGATTTATTCTATGTGACCCTCAGTGCTACTGGTAACGGAAAATGATTGTGGTTTATTTGTGTCTAAAATGGTGCTATCAGTGTTAGGTGCATCACAGGGAGGAGGTAAACACACCATCACCATAACATTTCATAAATCCAAGTCCTGGGATTTTGAGACCAGCTGACTGCAGCTGTTAATTCTGATAATCCAGAGGAAAACTCCAGACTAACGCTTAGAGACCGTCACTCATGCGACACATCAGAGTCTTACAAAGCATGTAGATGAACGTATTAGCAAGTGTAGTCTGATAGAATTTCTGATCCCAGATCCTATCCATGTGATTGCACTGTGCTTGCAACATATATACCCTCATCACTAATTGCATAGTTGAGTCATGTAATTTTGCCTGGTAATTTGTTTCAGAAATACCAAATTACAATATCAAGGAAGAAGCTTAAGGAAAAGCATGTAAGTGACAGCTGTTCTTATCAATGCAAACTACTGATTTTTTTTTTACACAAAACCAATGAGAGGAGTAAGCTTGCTTGTCCACATTTCCATTAGAACATATTTTAATTATCAGAGATTTACTTTTCTACTTTTCTTCCCACTCTTTGCTTATGGAAAGCAAACTACACCATCCCTCGTCTAATACAATTGACTTCAACATTTCAGAAGCAATTTGAATAAGCTCAAAAAGCTGCAGACATATTATTTTGTACTAATAACTTCAGTGTTTGTGAAACACAAACTGTTCTGATTTAAAGTTCACTTTTTAGACAGAGAACTGCTGTAGAATGGGCTGTGCATGCTTTTTCTAAGTTTTCCTGCCAGTATGGCCCTGTGGTAAGGCCTCTAAAACCCATGTAAGGGAAATTAGGATGCTCTTTCCCTCCCTGTCCATGTCATAATGGATGTCACTAGCAGTGAAAGCAAATGTGCTAGAAGTTTTTCCTGTATTTATTTATTCAGTAGATATATTACCTAACTCTTAACTTTATACAGTCTGCCAAAACTATTTCAGAGGTTGCTAAAGATCATGACATAAAAACCTGAGGGACAAGATTTATGAAGAGCTACAAATGCCTCCAGAATGTAAAGTAGGACATTCAGTCTGTCCCATCCAAGTAGATTCTGCTAGAAGTTCCTAATCTTAGTAGAATATATTATTATTATTAGGAACTGTTAGTTTTCCCTCCTTGGGAAAAGTACTACTGTATGAATATATAAGATCTTCCAGCTCTACATCCCTTATGTATATGAAATCGTCACTGGGGTTTCTCAGAAATAGATAGAAATTTATCTGGAAAAAAATAATCATGTCTAGTTTCATGTGGGTTTGGGTCATGTCTCTACACCTCTCTTCAGGCTAAAGGGACCCACCCTTCCATGCTCTGTTTCTCCTCCCTCCCAGAAAATGCTGCAGCTTGTACAGAAGCAGAAAAACACCACTCAGGCCCACTAGCATCACAGAAAAATAGCAAGCTTACCCTGAAACTTTTTCCTCTAAGGATGCCTTTCTCTGATTTCTGTCACCCAGCAACTGCCAATCTTCATGAAGAATTTAAATAGTCTTAGAGCATTCTAGCTGCTGTGCAATTCTTTGAAACTGAACAGTGGACTCAGTGTGGGTCTGACAGGTGGATGGCATGCACAACTGCTTACATATTGTTTCCTTAGAAAAGCAGGCTTGAGATTCTGCAGCATGGAACTCTAACTCATGGAAACTATAACTGGGACATAAAATAAGACTCCTAGTTACACAGAAATTTAACTGGTAATAAAACTGTTTATTGCTGAGGCACAGAAATTGCTCTCCAGGTGTCATAAAATGACAAACTACATTTTTAAAACCAAGTTAATACATTACATAATGGTGTACTTTCAGGCTTGAGGAACAGTGAATTTTAGTGCAGTGAGACTGAAGAGAACACATAATTAGGTTCTTAAGAGCAAAAAAATTTTTCCTCTATTACCAAAGTATCCAATGTCTTTAAAATAAACATCTCTTTTCCTTCTCACCTTTTAGGAGATGAAGCTTTATGTTTTGAGTGTGTGTGTTTATATGTATACTTGTATACATGTAAGGATCTTGGGAAGAGCTTTTATTTATCAACCTTGATAAACATCAACCTTGATATCAACCAGATCAAAAGAGCTTTTATTTATAAACCTTGTTCTGTATGCTGTGGGAGCAAAATACAAAGTTTAAGTCCTGTCTCTGAAAAAGTTCTGTTGTCTCTGCCCTGTAAACCTCCCTCATTTACCAAGGATTTTACAGCTGTAGTAGAATTTAGAGGGGTGTTGTGTCACTAAGGTGCTTAAATCCTGTTTAAAGAAACAGAAAGCTTTTATTATCAGGACAGACTTTGAAATCAAACGCTGCATTCAGTGGATAGCCAGCTGAACTCCAGGACAAACATATCACCATGACCTGTTGCTAAATACATAGGGCTGCTGTGTTTTACAACTGCCCGAGTTTTTATAACATGGAGCTTTGTCCCTGAGGATGAGCTGCAGCAATGAAATATGAAGGTCAGTGATGTGATGTGGTCAGGAGTGAGGCTGGTAATGAAGGACACAATGTACAGCTCATTATGGAAACAATATTTTTGTTATTGGCAGACTGGAGTAAAAGAGAACCCCCATGCTTCACTGTTTGACACAGGTGCTCTGTTGGGAAGCACTCTCTTTTTCCTGAAGGCAAAAAACCATTTCAACTTAAAGGTACTGTCATCCAGATGCTAAATCAATGTCAGTGCTAATTTTGGTGGGCTGTTACATTCAGTGTAATCCAGACAACATTTCAGCTTCATCTGGATACTAATCTTGGCAGTGCACTGAGAATTCAGGAAGAAACTAGTATTGTTGGAACTTCATACCATGTTCAGATGGGAAAACTAAATTGTAACTTGACTGATAAGGTGTGCTGCAGCTTTTTAGATTGAGAAATCATTACAATTATCTTAATTAAAAGAACTTGAGATATTTTAGAGCATTGTTTCAGCTCTGAAGATGACAAATATGCAGGATATCAGGGAAGTGGCAGTGGAGAGATTGCAGACAAATTCTATTTCTGACAGAATGAAAACGTGAAACATAAGTGGCATGTGTTACTATGCATGACCCTGCATGTCTCAATTGACAGGTGAATTGGAGTTTTTTTCTCACAAAAATGTTTAGGTAGAAGGCATTAGTTTGTGGAATGACTTTTACAGAGCAACAGTGTCTTGGCCACTGTTGGGATTATTGTGCACATGAGCATGTGTAACATACTCAAATGAATGATGCTGTTAGGGATAGCAATACCTAAGGCAGAAGTAATCTCAGATAATCTCACACATTTAAAATGTAGATAGCCTGTTGTACTGTGCATGCATTTACTTGTGTATATCAAATGGACAATTAGTATACACAAGTGCAGGTGTTTTTTTTGTTCAGGTAGAAAGATGTTAATGTTTACATTTTAAAGCTCACACAGCCCTTAGAATGGGCTTTTACTTCATGGTGAATTCTTTTGGTGCATACAGCTGAAAGATGCAGATCATGGTTCTTCTCCCTTAAACAAAATTCTGCAGCAAGTATACCACTCCAGATATTTTCAAAATAAACATTAAATAAAAGCCCTTGTATAAAACCTAGTTTTCCATAGGCCTTAGTCTTGCTAAACTACTACCCCAGGTTTTGCTTGCATGCACTTACAAATAGGATGCTGAATGTTATCACAAAATTTTAAATAAATGTTTTCAGTGAAGCAAAATTTAAAGCTTTCCAAATGTATCTTTTAAATAATAGATTAAAAGTAACAAATATCTGTTCACATATATTATTAGTTCATGCTTATGTGGTAGTATCCATCAATATGATGAACAAGTACTTATTTCCTATAAAATTCCTTACTCTAATAATGTATCTAAATATATTTAGTCCTAGAATTGAAAGTCTCTGTAACTGTTCTTGACTATTGGAAGCCACGGTGTTATTCACAGCTCAATGAAAAGCAGGCTGCCCGGAATCCTCAATAGTGCATCTGAAGTTCTTTCTCATTGAATTAAATTTAAGCTGTCTCTAAAATTAATCTCTACTTAAAAGTAATAAAGTAATATTCATTTGATTTCCTCCCTTCAGGGATTGATGAGTCAGCTTAGACATTTTGGGAAGATGAGTTCCCAACTGAGCTGTTGTAACCTCTGGCAGATATCATGAGCAGACAACAGACACAACAGACCGCCTGCGGTTCCATCTAGAATGATCTGAAAAAGAATTTATTGAAAAAATCTTGCTTATTTGAGCATATTCATGTTTTGAAACAATCCAGCATTTCATAATACCAAAGCAGTAGGTTAAAGTTTGGATATGATCAGTTCCTGATTTCAGTAAATAGGTAACTAGATAACAGAAGATTATTCACAAATATTTGAGCATGTGAATTGTGAATGAAGCCTATGACCCTCCAAGTCAATAAAGACAAGCACAAAAACCACTAAGGAATCTGATGTCTAGGTAGGGCAGTGTACCCAGGATGCAAAGTATCTTACTCTATGGAGGGTACACTGCTTTAAGACTTCGTTACAGATGCTTAGAAAACTGTGAGAAATCCAACATATCTTCAAACAGCTCATTGGTTATGAGAAAGTTGTTTTGGTGCATAATCTCTGTGACTTTGACTCATCTGCAGCATGTAGGTAGAACTGACTAATAATATCAGACACATAATGCCACTACCACAGTATCTGCTTACAAATTGCTGCTACGATCTGGCCATCCCTAAGTACTTACCAAGAGTTTAAAATCTCTTACAAGTGAAATGAAAGCTTGTGTTTGTCAGAATATTAAGTCTGATCTTCCCCCTTCTCTTTCCTGATATGGGAGCATTTAAAACCAATCATAGAGTGTCTTTTTTCTCTGCTTTAGATATTACTGGTGGCTGCTGAAAAGAATAGAGAAGCTCCAACAAAGAAGTTAATTCTTAACTTTTCCTTCTTCCTCAGTTTTAATCACTATCAGGTATGTGTGTGTTAGCTTTATAGTTTGGAATCCTTAACAATTGATAAGAACTTAAAGTAAGTTGACAAGAAATGCCAAACAAAGCAATTTTTCAGAGATACTGTGTTGTTGCTGAAGAGTAGCTCCTTTAAGAACTTTAAAAGTACTTTACTTCAAAATAGAAATAAAGCTCTGGTAACATTTTAAATCTTGGTAAACTCCAGCATAAGAGAGAGTCCTAATAAAACTGAGATGGGAAGTACATGTATAGTGGACCAGATAATGTCCCTAAAATAAAACATTCTTCAGTTCTGCAAATGCATGTACTTTTGCATTTCTATATTATGATACTATCTGGTTCTCGGACCAACACACTTCTGGTGTTTGGAGACTACTGACTCTCGATACTGGTAGTCTCGAAAATCCAGACAATGCTTTGTGGATCCATATGGGATACACTCTTATGTCTTTGCACACTGTGATTTTTCTCATAATGTCTGTGGCTGGGTATGGAGAGACTTCTTGGGACTTACCTAGTCCTAGACTGCAGAACCTTTGAATTCATTCTAATAGCTTCTACGATTAAGTAAGATTAAGAGCTTCTAAAATTACAGAAAGGACACCTCAATCCAAAGAGATGATCTTTCAGTCAGGATGAAGTTATAAGATTTCAGATTGGCAAGCTGGAGTATAAGAAGTAATGCATAAAACTTTTCTTTGCCTAGTGACAGTGCCATCTTTGTACCACCTAGGTACTTTACTTGTTTGACTTAGCCAAGAAGTTTACTCGTTAGTCTAAATTCACTTCCTCAGCTACTTTGTAGACAGAGGGAAATGCTAAATACTTTCCAAAGTCTTAATGATCCCATCCCATCACAAAATCTATTTAAAGATTAATTGTTCTTTTTCTTTCCACTTAGGGCATTTTGTTGGCAAAAATATTCAGGCTGTAACTGGTGAAATATCATCTGATAAAAATGTCAGGCACAGCAAATTTTTCTTTATGGACTTTATGAAATTAATATCTCTACTTGAAATTAAAGCAATTCAACTAGGAACTTTAAAAATATTGGAATAAATGTCTATACTGACTCATAAAATCATACAAAAATGTCTACTACTTTATACATTGTCTGTATATAGCATTAACACACTGTAGATTAAGAATTTTCTGTAAAAGAATGCTTACAACGAAGTCTTGCAAATATACAGAATCACTTAAACGTCCATAGTTCACTTACTAAGTATATCATATTTGCTTTCTTCTTCAGTCTTAAGCACTAAAAACAATTCTTGAAAAGAATAATAAAGATCTAATTTTTGATGTCTTTTACAGTGTCATGAAATACATCATCTAGGCAACTCTGTGAGTTCATTTTAATAAGTAGGAAATTGCTATATTAAGAAAAGAAAACCACTGCGGGGGGGATGAGAAAAAACAAATAGAATGGAATGACATAAAATGGAGGCAGTTTTTGTAAATTCTTTATCTCTTGTAAAGAAACAGTCCCTGAGGACGTAGGCTTCTTAACATTTATATATTCTTAAGGAGCGGTAATCTTCAAACTGAGTTAGATCAATAAAAATAAGATTACTTATTCACATACACCCTTCAATGAAAATGAAAGAATGAAATTTTAAAAATTAGAACTAATGCTCTTAAAAAACCAGGCTCTGTTCTCTTGTATCTAAATGGACATTTCTATGCTGATATTTAAAACTGACCTCTTCCTGTTCAAAACCCTTAAGGCCTATTATTCTTCCATTTTGGTAAAGGGAGCTCCAGGGACACTCATGAGTGAGACTGAATGTCTGAAAGTGGAGAATGACTTGGATACCTGAAGGTGGAGAGTGACTTGGACTTCAGTAACTGAAATGCATGCAAATTAGCACCTTGTGGCTCTGAGAAGAGATTAAGATAAGCAGAAGAGCTAGAAGCCATTAAAAAAGTGCTTGAAAGGGATTGTTAAAACTCTTGTTACAAACTGGAATAAATGAGGCACAGATGGTTAAACTGAAAGGACAAGGGAAAACAACACCTCACACATTTCAGAGTCTGTTTGCTGGCTGCCATCTGAATATTTTTATCAGAAGTCTGTGCAAACCAAAATAAATATTTAACTTGTGTATCTGTGTTCCTACACTGCTTTGAAAACACCTTTCCCCTCTTTTTTATTTTTTTCCTTTTTTTTTTTTTTTTTTTTTTTCTTTTCCTGAAAAGTTTTTATTAGGAATTTTGGGAAGAAATCAAGCTCCATCCAAAATTTCCAAGTTATCAGAAACTGTGTGCAGTTTTGGGTCACCTCAATATAAGAAGGATGTAAAGATATTGCAGTCTATCAGGAGGATAACCAAGATGGTGAAGGGCATTAAGGGGAAGCTGTATGAAGTGCAGCTGAGGTCACTTGGCTTGTTGTCCCTGGATAAGGGGGTCTTTAGCTTCCTCATGAGGGGAAAGAGGAGGAGCAGAAACAGATCTCTTCTCTGTGGTGACCAGTGGCAGCACCCAAGGGAATGGCCTGGAGCTGTGTCAGTGGAAGTTTAGGTTGCGTATCAGGAAAAGGTTCTTCCCCAGAGGGTGGATGAGCACTGGAGCAGCTCCCCAGGGCAGTGATCACAGCACCACCCTGGCAGAGTTCAAGAAGCATTTGGAAAATGCTCTCAGGGACAGGGTATGACTCTTGGGGTGTGCTGTCAGTGCCAGCAGTTGGACTCGATGATCCTTAAGGGTACCTTCCAATTCAGCACATTCTATGATTCTATGATAAAAGGAAAGAAAAAATTGTTTCCTTAGGGAAACAGTACTTATAGCTGTTACTGTTAATTTCTTGATGCTTGATGAATAGTTGTTGAAAGGAATGTTTATAGGGACAGTATGTTACCTAGTTGCAGAGGGAAACTAATCCTGTAAGCAACAACTCAAAGTTGCTTGATGGAGTCCCTCTATTGAAAAACCACACCTAATTGGAAGCTCCTGTATATGCTGTAGCAGTTTGACACAAGCAGTGAATTTGCTCCAGAAATATGACTTCTCTTTTGGTAGGATAGAAGAGCTTTTAAGTATAACAGTTCTTTCTGCCTTGCTGTCTGCAAATGTGACTGCAGCCCTGTTGTGAGTTACATTAAAAGAAGAATTAAGGCATTAGTATCTTATTTTAGTGGCATTTTTCTCTCTGAGAAACCCATATTTTTGTTATGATGAAGAAAGCTGGCAGAACTGGTGTGTAAATGTTGTCCTGCAGATTTCCTAGTCGTTACAGCTGATCAAGGAACATGTTTTAAATTAAGTTAACCATGACACTATAAATATATTAGTAAACACATTGTGCTCCAGGCTTTTAGCAACAAGCTACTCACTGATGTGAATGGACTCATTCTTCATTTACTCAAGGTAAAAGCAGTATCTCAACATCTCTAGTCATTTCTACTGAAATATACTGATAAAGCATTTAGATAATTATTGATAATATAAAATTTTTTTAACGCTCAAGCATTTTTCAAGGGTATTCCATGGCTAGAAATATGTGTAGATCGAGTATAGTACTTGAGCTGACAAAATCTTACATTTTAACAGTAATAAGTCAGAATACTGAAAGGAATTACCCTATTTCTACCTGAAAAAGGGATAGCTGTATCAGATAAAAGTTACAGTCCGCATTAAAAAAAAAAAAAAAAGAAAAAAGTCAAATTTTCATTACTTTAAGCAAATACCCTGAAAGGATTACACATTTCCAGCAAAACCTCCACTTACCAGATCCAGTGCTGCTCACTTGAGTTAGTTCTTCATCATCTTCATCATCACTATCACAGTTTAATGGCTGAAAAGCTGTTTCTGACTCTGTGTCTACTTGATGAGCATCTGGCTCTTGCTCAGCAAAGCTTCGCAAGGCCACAAGACGATGATGTATTGCTGCATACAGGTGTTCAGTGTCTTTTGAGCTTGCCTGCAGAACATAAAATGTATAAAGTCAAAAACAACAGATAAAAATCTCTATTTTTAAAAATTAATTTTAAAAATGAAAGAGTTGTATTTTGTCCCTTCTAATCGAAACAGTCAACTGAAGATTCACAATTAATAATTAACATCCAAATACTAATGCCAATACAAATAATGTTAAGTTTATTTATGTGGTCTGAGCTTTATATGCAGCTGTTGATTATTTTCTGTATAGTTACAAGATACATGAGCTATAGAATTACTTTTCCTGAAGAACAACTCAGTTTTTATAGAGTATTTGATATTGCAGATGATTCCTGAGCTTGATTCTGGAAGTAGGAAAGCCCTGACATGTTAATATATACAGTCACCAGGTGGATACTATAGGGATGGGTACTAGCCTCTTCAGTGACTACAACCCTTGCCACACCCATATAGCTCTCATATATTGTGACCTCATACATGTCTATTTTTACTGCTCAGTAGTGCCAAGACAATTTTATAGAATGTAAATTACATGCCCTATGAAAACAGTGCAGCACCTGGAAATCAGGACATTTCTAATTCTCACATGCAGACCAGCAGTCCAGCACATCCATAGTTAAGCTATTCCCTGTTAGGAAGTGATAGATTTACATTACTTGCATATACAGTGCATGGTGCTTTGCTTGTGTATGATATGTGACACTTCCTGGAACTATCTGTCTTTCCCAGCAAGCTGAATCCTTCCTAGAAAGATCTACTAGGGAAATTGTAAACATCCTTAAACTCATGTGGATGTTCTCACTTTCAAACTTGGGACATAAGTGCTTTATATTTGAAAATAAGTCCAGCACATTTCCATCTCCAATTTAGCCCTTGCTGGAGAAAATCAGGGTTCCCAAGACTATTGTCTTACACAGGGGGATATTGAAACTCTGTATTTTTCTCAACTGAGAAATGGAGGTCCTACACTGGATGGATTTATTTCAGGTGCTGTGTTGAGAACCATGGCAGAAAGCTGCTGCCTTTTAGCCATGTAACTTACAAAATTTTAACTACCTGTGAAGAAATTGTCAGTGTATTCCTTCCATTAAAAAAGAGACATTTCTGCATGTTACTGGAATGATACCCATGCCATTGGTGGTATGTGAACCAGAGTCTGAAAATGTCTGTCATAAGGCTAGATCATATCATCACACCAGTCTTTTTGAAATATCATTCTAACACATTCCATAATAAAAGCCATGTAACATCCAAGCGGAGCATAGTCTGATAGATCATGAAGGCTATTTGCTAAAACCAACCTTCATCAACCCTTCTGAATTGTAGATGAAGTGGGGTTTTGGGTAAAGCTGTCTTTTCCTACTCACCTGAGTTAGAAATACTTGAATAGAATGGTCCTCTTGATCTGTTGCAGTGAAGCACAGGCTCTTTCTGTTTGCTCTTTTTATAACCATTTGTTCCCAGAGTTGGGTGTTGAGAATCAGTCTCAAGCTACCTTGATTTCGCATAACTAAAATAAGAAGGTTAATAAGATATGCTGCAGTTGTTTTCTCCAGCACTTGTATACAAGTAATATTTTCATCAATTATTCTTTTAATTTGGTATAAAACACTGATATAGTGAGATTTTTTTTAAATATCCAAATATTTTCGTTTCTTTCAGTATGTCTGGCACACAAAGGAAATAATCTGCTGAAACTGTGCAATACAGTACAAAAAAGTAACAGCACAGTAACAACATTCCAAAAGAGTCTTGAAACAGAGCTGCTGAAAAAGCAGAACCAACAAAGAGCAGACTGTTAGACTGGTGACTGAGCTACTGCAGCAGACACAGTGCAGTAGAGAAGTACACAGAATCCAACAATATATGTGAGCCTAGTTCCTCAGTCTGTAATGCAGAGAACTTTATCACGTAAAAAGATTCTCAGCAATCTGACTTAAATATAACAATCTTCTCAGATTTAAATGTTCTGAAATAAACTCTGGCCAACAATAGCACAAGTTATTCGGTGTTTTCTGTATGGTATATCTCATTATTTAACTCATACTTAGCCTTGATTGCAACATTCCATGCTTATTGTTAGAAGTGTCATTAAGCCTCAGGGATCCTCTGCCTCTTTCAGTCCAACTTAAAGAAAGCTTATTAAATACAAAGAGCTTGCAGTTAATCTGAAAGAGAAATATATGATGAAAAGTGCCAGCTAATGCTAGTTTTATTGGCTCTAAAATAACAACTTTACTTTTACAACTTTACGGTTGTAAAACTTTTGATACAGCTTTTAATACATCCATGTATTACATTGCATGTGCACAAAGGTACACAGATATTATCTATACATAAATATATAGATATTTCACCTTTATTACTTAAAATGAAAGGGCTCTTAGATCTGTGAACTCTTTTCTCATAATAGAAAACATTCAGCATGAGTCCCAGTTTAATTTTGCAAATATTTCATCTTCATTAATTGTTTGTCTGTTGAGGAAGTTGCTGAGGCCCTTCAGTTTTGCTGCTGCTGTGTTTTTAGGTGTAGCAGCAGTCTGTGATATCCACCAGCATATCTAAATTTGTTGCAAAAGTTGTACAATCTTATTTTCTCACTCATTACAAATGTTATGCAGCAGGATACCAGTACTGCTACTAGAAGAGTAGTGCTCTAAAACCAGTAAAACTTCTGTGGTCTGCCAAGACAGAAGAATTAATCAAAAATAAAATAATGGTAAGATTTTTTAAATCACAATTTCTATTTTCTGAGAAAATAATATTTTGAAGACAAAGAATAAAAAGATACACCCTGCCCGCCAGGTTGGAACGATAAATGCTATTTTAGCTGAACTATAAAATCACTTTAACAACACATCGCTTTTTTTCCCCAAAATTTTTTTTTCACAAACCCCATCTTCACTCAAATCACTTCCAGTTCCAAGGTTGTGGTTACAGCTAGTATACTATGCAGAGGCTTATAAAATACCACTGAAATAGTCATTTGCTAAAAGGGACTACAAAATGAGCAAATATAATATGAAAAAGAATGCTCCAACTTAAAAAAAAAATGGGTTAGCTGAGACATAGCTTAAAAAAAAAGCAAAAATTTAAAATATAAATTGAAGTTGTTTTCAGATTGCTGCATCTGCAATAGATCTAGATGTTCTTTTTAACAACTAAACTACTCACCATCAAGCTTTTATGAAATACACACCTGCAATACATTTTGTTCTGCTTCTTCTCCAGTTATAACTTCAACTTTATCTAACAGAATTTTCTCCACTGGCTTGGAAACACAAGCAGCTGCTGATTCAATTAGTGTTGCATTCCTCAACAAAGGTCTTTCTGTAAAGAAAAAAATAAAAAAAAGACATTCTATCTATACAGGGAATATTTTGGGAATATTTTTAGGATAACAAAACTAGTACAGGTCACACAGGATGTGACCTCAGTAATACCTGTGGTATCTGACATTGTTTACTGTTATTAATAAGTTTTGGGCCAAAGGAACAAACATTAGAGGAAAAGACAGGAATACAAAGTACCTCACTAAAAAGGCTCATACAGAATTGAACAGGGCTGTTTATAGTTGCAGATGTCTGTCCCAAGGGACAAACAGAAACAATCAGAAACAAGGCCTAAATATTTAGAAGCTAATTTTCAAATTAAACTCATCTGATATATTGTTATGCCTAGTATCCCAATATTCAGAATAATAACACATATACAATGAATATTTAACAGGAACACAGAGGACAAGATTTGAAAGGATCAATATTGTTACAAAGCTCTGTATCTTTGCATAATCTATACACATGTTCTGAGGGCTTTATATTTAGAATTTCTTACTTGTAAGAAAGCTTACACAAATCATAGGATCTAAAAAATCTTTTAGTAATGAGGAGTGCAGAATTTGTCAATAATGATCACAACAGGGGCTGCTGGGGACTCCCTCATAGCCTAGGTTTACCTGGCTTGCTTAGTAGAAAATCTCACACCAGAGTCACAAACCAGCCCTGAAATCTGTCTGTATAGAACTTTCAGTCCCACAATTATGATCCAAAATAACGAAGATACGAGAATTTGAAAAATGCAAGCAGCAGACAGCCTAAAATTTTAATTCAACAATGTGGTCCATAAGGCATTCATAAAGGTTCCTGCACTTTTTTCCAAACAATAAATAATCACAGAATTACAAGGTTGGAAGAGACCTTCAAGATCATTGAGTTCAACCCCTTCACTAGCACCACAACTAAACCATCGCACCAAGTGACACATAAGTCTTTTTTTAAACACATCCAGGGATGGTGACTCCACCACGTCCCTGGGAAAACAGTTCCAGTACTTTATCACTCTTTCAGTGAAAAAGTTTTTTCCTAATATGCAACGTATATTTCCCTTGATGAAGCTTGAGACTGTGTCCTCTGGTTCTGTCAGTGGCTGCCTGGAGAAAGAGACCAACCCCCACCTGACTACAGCTACCCTTCAGGGAGTTGTAGTGTCACCCCTGAGTCTTCTTTTCTCCAGGCTAAACACCCCCAGCTCCCTCGGCCGTTCCTCTCAGGGCTTGTGTTCCAAGCCCCTCACCAGCCCCGCTGCCTCCTCTGGATGCACTCCAGCATCCCAACGTCCTTCCCAAACTGAGGGGCCAGAACTGACACAGCACTCGAAGTGTAGCCTCGCTAGTGTCAAATACAGTACATTCTGTTCTGTGGCACCATCAACCAACCCAAGAGAACAGTTGTCCTGGGACAAGCCATCTTCCCACTAAACACTGAGGCAGAGAGGGCATTAAGCATAATAATAATAATAATCTGTACTCTGTAATTTTTTCTTGAGTAATTCAGATCATGCTTTCTGAAGTTCCAGTTCACATGTCATAAAACAAACTCTACCTGCTTTCTGAATATAGATTTTGGCACATACTCTAAGCATACTCATGACTGGGTATCTTGAGAACAGATGAAAATTACTGACCACCACTCATTTGACATCCTCTAAAATACAGTTAGATATAATAATAAAGCTAATGGTGCTTGTTTGCTAAGTATGCTTACTTGTTTGTGGCCTGACATGAGAAGATCCTGTGGACATGAATGTTATTTCTCCTTTGAGTAAATCAACTTCATTACACAGCCTGGGATGCCTCTCAGGACTCTAGAAAAACAGCGGGGAAATAAGAATTCCTATTTTTAAAAATGGCTATGTTACTTCATATCAAACAGAACATTCAATCATTTAATCCATGCTAGGCTGAAGATTAGCAATTTTAATAGCTTCAGAGTAAAACCAGCCCAGATTATACCATTTCAGTCTCAAGAGGAACATTATTATCATAGAATCAGTACATTTCTTCCTCTGAGAAGAATGACCTCTTTGTGTGGATCCTGGACTAGTATTTAAAACCACTGAAGAATTCAGATGTTAACGTACTGGTTTATTTCTAGTTCAAGCTTATAGGAGTTTTAAACTACTCAGAAGAAGAAGAGTCTCAGAAGAGTAGTTTAAAACTCTCAGACACCACAAACTTAACCTCAGAGAGCTTAAAAATTTCTATCACCTTCAGTTTTGCATATAAATTTTCTTAGGCATGTCTGAATAAATGCTTGTGGCTTCTGACAATGCTCAGTGCTGCAACTCCTACCTTATAAATAAATCTTTGCCAGAAGGTATAGCCCAAACCTATGGTTGCCAAGCTTTTTACCTGGCAGATAACCATACAGTCTTCATCCTACTTCAATTAAAATCTTAATTTCAATTCTTTTTTCAGTGGTGCAGTTCTCAGCTCGGGAACCCCTTTTTTGTCCTAGAGTCCTTCAGAACTTAAGCTGCCTCACAAGCATGCACAACATGCTTTAAATTTTGCAAATATTTCATCTTCATTAATTGTTTGTCTGTTGAGGAAGTTGCTGAGGCCCTTCAGTTTTGCTGCTGCTGGACACTCTCTAGGGTGTCAAATTTTTCCCTTGTAGTTATTTATCACAGAATCACAGGATTGGGTTGAAGGAGATCTTAAAAATCATCTAGTTCCAACTTTTCTGCAATGCAAAGGGACACCTTTAATTAGACTAGGTTGCTCAGAGCCCCGTCCAGCTCGGCCTCGGATGGTCACCCTGGATGACCTCCAGGGATGGGGCATCCACAGTGCATTTCCAGCCAAATGTTTTACTGTAGTCTCACCACCCTCAACGAGAAGAATTTCTTCCTAATATTGAACCTATACCTACTGTCCGTCAGTTTGAAGCCATTTTCCCTTGTCCTGTCACTCTGCGCTCCTGTGAAGTCTCTCTTCAGCTTTCTTGTAGGCTTCCCTTCAGGCAGACAACCTCTTTACAGTTACAAGGGAAGTTAATTAGAGCAGTAGGAACCATATTCTTTTATCTTAGATTGTGGGTGCTCTGCTTCACATGGAATAGATAAAAAAGCCTCTTTTTCAAGTCAAAAAACAGAAGTGTGGTGAAGATAAGAATGCCTGTGCCTCCAGCAGCAAATCCTTACATATTTTATCCTCAAGAGACATTGGAACCATATTTACTCAGATCTTTAAAAGAAGAAGGACCTAAAAAGAACTAATATCTGAAAAAGTACTTGTACTCTTAAGAACACTGACCTTGATAAAAAGTCTCCCGGTATGTGCAGATCCAACCAAAACTCTTTCAACCATGTTTTCCCCGAACACAAAATCAGAATTGCTACTGTTTTGTAGACTTCTTTCTTTGAGCAACTGACTTCTGTGGGAACAAAATAATATGAGAGTGTGATTTAAAGCTATTTAAAGCACTTTAAAGATTCACCACACCTAACATTAAAGAAAAAGAAAAAAGTAATCACGTAAGTAATCAGATAAAGAATCACAAATTCTTTAAGAGAATCTGAGAATATTCTTTACGGAACATTTCACAAAAGGAACAGAGTATCATACAGCATTTCATTAAGATTATTGAGGATATTCCTTAGAGCAAAGAACAAGCAGCAAAACAGCATGCCATTTCTCCTCAGAGAAGTGTCTTACTCCAGAAATTTTAATGAGTTACTTTTGTTTCCCTGTTTCCTTTTGCTCCTCCAAAGAACTACCAACAATTAACAGCTATCCTTTCAAGTTCTCCAGTGCTCTGCTGAATAATGCACACCCTGGTGCCTTACAGGCATTCCTTCATCATCCTCCTTAAATCTTGGAAGTGCAGGAAGGCACTGCATTCACATACACACACAGACACTGAAAAAATGTATAGATGTGACAGCAGATGGCTTAAGATGAGTTAAAATAAGAGAGAAAAGTGTTTTCATTTTTCAATTACCTGTTCTATAGATATACTTAAAATAAGAAGAGAACTCAATACTTGCAATCCTTTGGTACTGGCCAACTAAATTTTAGAGATTACATTGAAGAATATTCTATACAAGTAGATTTGTGATTTGACTTGCTAATTACATAGCCACTTTAAATTAACAGGTTTCATTTTTTTTGGTAAAAGTCACTAGAAAAGTCCTTGTAAACTCCTTTATGTGGACGTTGTTCCTGCTGCTGGTTTGGTTTTGGGGTTTTTTTGGGCGTTTGTTTTTCTGGGTTTTGGGTTTGTTTGTTTTATGAAGGGGTTACATGTTATTTATGCTTTCTGTAGAGCTTAATCCTGCACATCTTGCTGGCATAGGCAAAACTATGAAAGTTCTTTTCACTTTCTGTTCCAAAAGGATGACTTAGAAGGAAGACAGCCTGACACTGTATCACAAACTGCATTTTTCAGCACCACTAACTTCCATTTCACAGTATTTATCACTCTTGGGAGGGCTTAACATAACATATGTCATGTAGAGGATATTCCTGTTAATTAGCTGGGTTTGTTGGCAGAACTTTGACAATTTCCTCTAAAATAGTTTCTCTGTTCACAACTACAGTGTGCTTGAAATCTCTTCAAGGATGAAGGGTTTACTGAGTACTACCTCTCTCAATCTTTTTTAATGACAAAAATATTCCTTAGCATTCGCATGCCTGATGTGTTGCTAAGATTAGAAGCAAAACAGAAAATACTTATCGTTTCAGCCTTTAAAGCTTCTAAGCATGCTTTGTGCCATGAACAAGAAATCTGAAGTGTGTTAATGGGTTTTTTTATCCTTACCCTCATCAATAGAATTCACTGGAATGTGACCAATTTCCATACTGAAATTTCAACTGCTACTTCTAGGCTGTTCCCTTAGCAGCTTAAGGACAGCACCCCAAAAGAGCTAAAAAACCAAGAATTAGAGGCTTATTTCTAAGAAAAAAATGTGGGAAATTCTTTTAATTATATTCAGATTTTTTTTATTATATTCAGAAATTAAGAAAAATTAATCAGTGCAATCAGTTCTCTTTTTAAGAGAAAGTTAACTGGAAGTGTCAGCCTTAAAATGTTATTAAAACCTAAATAGCCTTATGTTGCTGTATGGCAAGAACAAAGTGTTCTTGTCAGGTATGCACTGTCAGGGATGCAAAGTGTTCTTGCCCCAGGGATGGCATTGTCACGGAGATACAAAACATAGTCACTGATACCAGGGAATGATCACTAACAAGGAACAATGGGAGTAGAAATATGGATAAAAGACTCGAATGGGATTATGAGAGGGGAATAGATTCAGGTACTGGCCTTCTAAGAGTTTCAAAAAGGTCTGAGTAGCCGCCAGTTCCAGGGCTGGTCTCAAACCCTTTCAGTTTTCTAAGCAAATCCTAGTACAATGTTGACTTGATGTGATTGGAAGCCTTTGTATTCCCACTGTTGTATTTCTGTCACTCATGATACAAGCTTTCTAAGCTTTTAATCAGAATCAACAAACTGGATTTTTTTCCTTTTCAGTTCATTATTATAGTCAGCCGAGGAAATGAAAATTAGCGGTTGCATGGAACATGGACAGCTGCAGCAACTGCAGAGGGATAACAAGGTATTTTCACTCACGTCTCCACAGAATCATATAATGGATAGATGAAGATGTGGAAGAGAAGCAAAAGTGAGAGAGATGTCTGCAGGCCAAACAATCTCTGCAGTTTGTTTTACAGCTAAATGTCAACAGTTATGCCTGGATTGGAAATTAAAAGCAAACCTAAAAAGCTGTCTTCTTAGCAATGAGGAGGTCTGGCTGCAATGTTCACTTATTGTTCAGCATGTATACAGAGTTTAATAAAATCATTTGTTTATTATTGATGAGAAAACAGCTATGCCAGAAAGATTTTACCTAAGTATTTTACAGCAATAGTCACTTAATATGGATCAGAAGAACAGTACTTATATCTTCCTGCAATCTCAGAAGAGCAGTAGGCATCTGGTAGTATTTAAACTAGTTTTCAACTGCCAAAGGAACCAACATTTACCATGATTATAATAGAACTAGTATTGTGCTATACAGAATTCATGAGGCACAAACACCCCGAGCAGGGTGTTTGTGGAAAAAAAAAAGACAAGGGAAAGCAATACCCTAAGTACCTTTAAGTAAATTGTTGGCACTGAATCCCTGTGTTGCATTTCTCTACTTCACAGGAGAAAGTCACTCACCAATCTTTTCCTAGATATTGTGCGGCTGACAGAAGCTAAATAAAATTAAAGTACCAACAGCGGCAGATTTAGCTTTTCTAATGCATGCATTACCAACAGATTCTCCTAAAAACCCAGTATGCTCTGTGGCTACATGTTGTCCTCAGAGGGCATCACAACGGCATTAAATGAAATAGAAAAGATTGGTTCTTCCAAAATCACAGCAAGCATCTGCCCTGTAATGGTGTTATTTTTGTTGATAAGGGTTAAGAATCTAAGTTGCTTGTGTATCTAAAAATCTCCCGCCTCCTTAGAGCCCTGGCACTGTGCATCACAACCTTTATCTGTGGTCCATCTAGCCCTGTAGAAGACTGGCATAGACTCCTTTGCAATTTACATATTCTGTGCCCTCCTTGTGTAGGAGGGAGAATTAAGCAACATTAGAAATCTATTATCTGTGGCCCTAGCAATTTTGAAAAAGTCACTCTATCATCAAAAGTGATACCAAGTCTATTCCTGATGCTCACAACTTCCAGGTAAATAACCCTCATCAACATCAGCAAGCAGTATTAATACCACAAGACAACCACAGACCTAGAGTTCTGATGAGTCAGTCCCCAGAGAGAGGTAATAGCCTACTTTTGCACCAATATGACTTCTGCTCAGTGCAGGCTTTGAACCCTTTCTGTTTCCCAAGCAAAACCTTGTGTGAAATTGAACTAGAAGCCAGTGTTTTCCCAGCATTTTATTTCTGTCACTTATGACACAAGTTTTCCAAGCTTTTACTTAGAATCCGATTAATCTCCAAGAACAGGGCTCTTTCCATCACATACAGTGTCAAAAGGATGGGGAAACATCCTAGTCCAAGGATGTCAGCTTCCTCACAGAAATCTGGAAGTCTGTGCTGCACAAAAACGCTAGCGTATCACAGTCACCACAGATAGCTTCCCATGCCAGAAATTCTACTTTGTGAATGAAAGTAGAGCATTAATTGCAGCATTCACCTGGTCTTCCAAATCAATCCTGTATTTTTTTTCTTTATGCTTCTTGTGTCCAATATGCTGAAATATATTGGTAATTCCTCAAAGGAATGAAATTTCCTGAGTTTCTATGCACTTTTTTATGAGCTGCAGCAGACATGGAGTCAGAAGAGAGATGGCAAACCCCGTATAGCTTCTGGCTTGGTTGCTAGTGAGAAACCACCTGTCCTACAGAGACTAATTATAGTTAGGAGTCCATTTTTTATGGCTTATGAGGCTTATGTCAGTAGACACAAATCTTGGCACCACCCACAAACAGCACTGAGCCCTGTTAGGGTAGAGATAGCATGGGCTTAGTACCGTGTTAGACATAGCTGATGAAAGGGCATGCCATCAGCCAAGTGACAAGATGCTGTAGAAATACAATAAACAAAATCTTACTGTGTTTTTTGAGAGCTGGAAAGACTCATGGTAATAGATGATCCCACTGCTGTTTTGGAATTTACTGAATTCTCAGTGGATGAATAAGAGCTGTCTTCAGATAGCTAGAAATAATAAAATCAAATGGATTAATTAATTAGATTAGTTAATTAATCTGCTAGTAACAGATTGCTAGAATCCAGAGTCACTAAGGTATAAAGATACACAGATAGAGATATGGATAATACATATGGTAGTTGGCAGAGCTTCTTCCAGCTGTCTACTAAAACAGTGCCCTCAATTAAAATCCTAAAATCTCATTTCCTAAATAAACAAAATCCAAAACACCCAAAGCTGATTTCCCCACAGAACCCTGATATCAGAGAGGTAAGACAGCCTGCAGAGAAGAAATAATTTTTCAAATACAGTCAGCATGAGTTTAACATTTCACATCATGTCAGTGATACAGCAATTCCACTGAAACTTACAAGGGAACTTTCTTGAAAATAATGCATTTTAATGCATGATTAAGTAATTGCATGATTAATTAATTAATTAATTGCTTTAAAACAGCACCAGTTTGTTTGGTGTTTGGTTTTGATTGTTTTGGGTGTTTTTGTTTGGTGTTTTCTTTTCCTTAATTTGAGCTCCAGTGAAATTATTTTTCTTTTTACCTGAACACATGCTTCTTTCTTTGTCATTAGAGATACTACAGGAATTTCAGGACAGGTCAGGGCTTGTGGGGGCTGTAAAGTGGCAGGTCTAATGACATTCCACAAATGACTTGGTGACAAGGATCCTTGCAAAATACAAAGACAAAATATTTAAACACATACTTTTTCTTCACATCTAATTCATACCTATATGTCTTGCCTCTTAACTGAAACTTTCAACACATTTAAAAATAATATTTACTGTTCTTTACTTACTTCATATTCTGAAAAACTGTAATGGTTTCTAAAATACATAACTCTGCAGTGAAACCAATGTGTTATCCTATCAGGATAAAAAAGTAATGTGTTATATACATAAATATTCTATTTGTACTTACAAAATATATTTGTATTTATATATTTAAGTATATCTTTATACTTATATTTATTACTTTGTTTTAGATCTGTCTTACGGCATTTCAGATTTAATTCTGCATCCTCAGATGCCAAGAGTTTTCTTCATTGCCTTCTCCAGGAGCAGAGTATTCCGTTACAAATGTGAAATTTCACTACAGAAGATTATATTCATTTCACTCAGGAAATAAGTAGTCAGAGCAGATGGTGAGACCAGAGTTCATAGGACATTTACACTGTCAAACAAATAAGTTATGAACTGCAAAAAGACACCAAGCCTATTATTCAGTACGGAGAAGAGCTGTTCTTTTTTTGTCTTCTGTATCTATAAAGGATGTCTTTGTAGTGCTACAGTGAATAAATATTACAATGATAGTTACCTTCTCTTGCACTTTTAATAATGTCAGGATTTCTTTGAAGAAGAGCTGTGCTCATGAATATGTTGTTCTTCTTTACTACAGAAAAGGAATTTAAAATTAAATAAGTAAACCCAAATTTTAACCATTAATTAGTATTTCTGTATCCTCTCCCTCTTTTGGTAGTACCTGAGCAATATTCCAACATATCCATCTGAAAAAGATTGTCAAGTTAACTGTTACTGTCTCAGTTTTTACAGGTGGGCAGACTTTGGCACGAGAGAGCACCAGAGGTTTTCTGGCTATGTCACAGTCTTTTGGATATAAATGAATGTTTTTAATGCAAAATCTTTCTTCATCTTTTAAAAATAGGTGTTCCTGTTTTGTAGAAACATTGAATGCTACCTGGTCACGATTTAGGCATTTTTAAGATGATTGAGGCCCAAATACATACGAATAAATAAACAAATACATAAATCCTGCCCTGCTCTGCTGAAAAGGCCTTCGTAACTTAATAGAATGATGGCAATGCTCTATTGATGCTTTCACTGTTTTAATAAAGATATCAAACACCAGTGAGATGATCATGGCAACCATGCTGTAAAAGCCTAGGAGGTAAGGGGGATAATTTTTATGTCACTGAGATCCAAAGCTGTGGAGCCAACCAAGGATTTCTGGTAGTAACTCACAGTGAGAAAGTGCAGGGTGTGGCTGCAGAAGGTGCCATACAGAGGTAGGGCAGCACTTTCCCAGGACAACCATAAGCACAGCACAGCAGGAATGAGGCCAAGAAGCGGGCATGGACTGCAGGGGCATCAAGACCACCCAAGACTCCCAAGGCCTCTGACCCATTTCCAGAAAAAATGAACTGCACATGAGAACTGATTTGCATAAAAAGAGAGAAACTCATCTCTAGGGTGGGGAAACCCTTCTATACAAAGGAACCCCTGTGAAGCCTGGGTGTGTGTCCCAGGATCCTAGACCTGCCTTCAGCTGGACTGATGCTGATGCTGGAACCATCACCATGGTGATCTCTTTTTCTCTCTTTCTTGCTTATCCTCTTCTCCTCTTTAATCCTCTTTAATTCTCTCTCTTCCCTTTCACCTTAACCCTTCATCCAAAACCCACCTCCATGTGCTTAGAATAGAAGATCAGGACTTATACCAGTTATCATGTCAAGTGTGTAATCTACCAGTAAAACTTTTTAAGTTTTTGCAGAACCTCTGACTTGCGTCATTCCTTTCCACTGTGACCACCCAAGATTTGTAAATCTTGGGTGCTGCCTTCCCCTTAAGGGTGTTGTGCCAAACATGTACCATGTCCTGTAGAATGGCACAACTGATACACTACATACAATCGCCACTTTTTCATTGCAAGAGTGTGTTTTGCTGCTATTAAAATGCTGTGCACTCTTAACATTATTTAGAAATCCTCTACACCAGTGTCTGCCAAGAACCTGTCTCTGGTAAGAGACATAGACTAGGATTTGAGACCACTTCATCCTTCCTGTTAGTGCTAAGAGTAAGGATATTCCCTGGATCCCTGGTTAGGTGGAAAACATGCTCCTCAGACATAAAATTATATTCCTGTAGGAACAGTCACCATTATATTACAAGCAAAATATCATGTAATTACCATATTTTCATTTTGTTTTTTTTAAGTATAATATGTATCACACTCCATAAATGCATGATTTTAAATTACTCAAAGATTCCACCCCTGCCTGAGAGGATTCCCCAACTATTAAAAAAACCCTTTATCTTCTGTTGAAATGCCAGTCCTCCTTCTAAAATAATCCTTTCTCCCATCTAAATACCAGACTAGTCCAACACACTTCAGCTTTGTCTTGCAGGAAAAGCATTTCTGCACACATCTTTATTTTAGCTAATACTTGCTTTTCTATGTAAATATTTATTTTCATTTACCTGTCTGGGAGGGAGGGAAAGTAGAAAGGATGTTAAATGAAGATGATCTCCCTCTTTGCTGTGTGAGAGCTGTATCTAAAAGAATAAGAGATTAAATTATTACTTGTTTGGAGAATAAAAAAGACCAGTTTTAGGGTTAGCCAGGCTGATGTCATGCTTTCACTGACAGTAGAATAAATCATTATCTGCTACCCGCCTGTTAGGTTATGTCTATGCTGCTGACCCCAGGATGTCACTCAGGCCAAGCAGCACAGCCTGGCTCAGGCCCACAGCTAACCCTCTCTGTATCAGCTCTGTCCTGGAGACTGCCAGGTGGAAGGGTTCAAAACACAGCCAGACAGTGACCTATCACTTAAACAGTGTGGGCAGTCAATACAGAAAACACTCCAGCTTCCTTCTGCACTCTGCCTTATTTTTTGGTACGGGCATACCCTAAAATTTCTCACATATCTATCCCAATTTAACTTTTAGAGTAAACCAAACTTAGCTGAAGTCCTCTTAGGTACATTCAGATGTGATTAAAAAAAGTAATACACCATACACAATTAATGCCTGAATTCACAAGTACCTCTCTGGTACCATCCATATGTTAAATGAAGATCGTAAAATACAGATCAGTCCTTCTGCACAGTAGCCTCAGTGATTTGTGTTCATTTCCACGGAGACAATACACAGTCCTTAATGAGCCTTCCCTGTCAGGTCATGTCTGGACTGTAGGAGGGGCCCTTCCGGAAACAGCTTTACATTTTAAAGGATTGCCCAGGGAACACTGAGCTCTTCCAGAATCCAGGGATATAATTCCTTTCCAGACTTCATCCTCCCTTGACTGTGTGAGCAATTCAGGAAAATTATATACAATTTTTAGGTTTTTCACTACTTTATGTAGTATTATGTAAGTATGGAAAAAATAATATATTTTTAATTAAAAACATGTTTATTGGAAACTACCAGCAAGTATCAATGTTTTAAGTTTTCATGACTTGAAGCATGCATACAATGCAGAAACATTTCTTAGATGGGGGAATTCATTCTTTTCTTTGCCAGATAAGAATACAGAACTCCTATCAAAACATGAATGGAGGTAAAATGTCATACCAGTGTTAGGCTGAGAGTTAGACTTCTGGAAAGTCAAAGATGATGATCTTGCACGTTTTCTGGAACAGCTAATGAAATCTAGAGAAAAGAAAATATAATTTTAATTACATTATATTTTCAGCAGGAGGCATCATCACCATGTTATGACACTGAATTAAAACCTGAACAAAATAAATTCCAGGAGGGATTTCAGCTTTAAGGCAGTACATAAGAGCAAGAGAGCTTTGGAATCTAAGTCAACACCTGTAACAACGCCCTGGGGAGTCTTCTACTAAGTTCAGGGAACCTAAAGCCAGTACTTAGAATCATTTCACAGCCCATGGGCTCAGAAAACAGTAAGAATGAGGAACTACATTATAACATTACCCACGCAAAAAGAAAGAGGCAGTTAGTTCATACAGCTGATGAGTACACTTGGTCAATTTTCAGGGCTTCTGGAGCTTGTCTTTCTGATAAATATGAGAGGTAAGATGGAAGAACTCTTGAGGGAAGACAGGGACATATATATTAGGACAGAACAGGGGGCTCTAGAGCCCACAAAATCTTAGTCTGGTAACTGGGATTTACCCCTGCTCACAGAAGAAGTCCAAACACTGTTTTTACAGGACCTATGGATAAGCCAGTTATATTATGCTGTTTCAGTGAGGTGATCATTACCATTTTCAGCTTTGCAAACTGGGTCTTCTGCTGGCCGCTGGAAAAAAAAATAAGCATGGAAAGGTCAAGGAAATAGAACAATCATTGTCTAGACAGAGACACAAAGTATAACAGTCCAGCATATATGCATTAAGTCTTGCTTCTGTTTCCTATTCTTCCTTGTTCTATTTTCAGACTATTTATTACAAGTGCTAACCAGGGCTAAAATCTTATACTACTGCTAGGATAATTGTCTATAGAATCTCTATTTCTCAACAATTTTTATCAATAATGAAAAGGGGGAAAAAAAAGCTTTTTACCTTCAAAGAACGGTCCTTCTTTTCAAAAACAAATGTTGGCTGGGCAAGCACTGATTTCTCTGGAAAAGAGAAAAGATCAGTTTTAGTAACAATTTCACAATAATATTTATAAAGCAGAGGTTTGAAAATGCTGTGCAATAATAAACAGGAGTTTATCCCTTTGTTACAACGTAAGAAACTAAAGAGATGTAGTAATGTATAGTACAGCACATTAGGAAAAAAAGTTATAATCACCAAATCTGAGTGTGAGTTTTGCCTAACTAGATGTCATGGGACTTTGCCTCATATTTTTAATATTCCTCTTTAAAAAAAAAAAAAAAAAAAAAAAAAAGTGCTTTAACCTTTACAAGAAACATCTACCATCCTTTAAGAACAAGGGTGAACTGCATCTTTGCATAGCAGAAAAGAGCAAGCATATGAAAAAGAGAATGTGTTACACCTGGCCTTTCAGTTCATTCATACATTCTGCTCTTTAAGCTTCAGGTAGGTGGATGTCTAGGGTCAGTTTTAATGTGTGTGTATGGTAAATATGGAGCTCTAAGGAGCAAATTCTAGTCTCAGCATACCTCTGCATCTCTTAGGCATAACTAGAAAGATCTTGGATCTATGCTCTTTTTTCCTATGAAATATTTTTCTGCATACATTTGCCTCACATCAGTTTTTATGCTGATTTAGGGTTCACTACTTCTACATCTCATACAACTTCTTCAGGCTGTTTACTTTGTTAGACTTGTGACCTTCACAGCCGGTGCAATTCTAATTGACTAAATTTGGTTGTCAGTGTAAAAGAAAAAGCTGTTTTCACCAGTACCACTGATTAATGACACATTTATTATATGAATTAAGGGCACACTTAATGGGCAAAAAACCAGACACAAACTGATCTTTTTTTAAAGACCACCCCATACAGGATTCATCTCATTCTAGCTTGATACATCTGTCCTGTGCAGTAAATAGAAACAATCAACTTCTGACTATGAGCATATTTTACCTGTGTACTTTAGATGACAAATGGAAAGCTAAATGCATGTATTTCTCTCCATGGCTGATAAGTACAGAGTTCAGACTAGGGTGACTGCTGAGCTATTTGACTGGTCTCTGGCCAGAGAAATCTCACACTTGGTGACTTGTTAGCTGACATTTGACAGAATATTTATCACATACACAACATTTTTGTAACTCTCTTTTACCCTGTTACCTCTTCAACAAAAACATCCAAGTGAAAATATGTGGATAGATTTTTTATCTAGAACTGCACACCCATCTGTGACCAAACAACTCGAGCTCCGGTGTCAATTACTCAAAGGTTTAATAAAGCAAACATCAACCTATCATGCAGGAGTTAAGATTACCGCACCAAAAATGTATTCAACTATCAAGGAAAAAGTAAACATTGTTAAAATAAATGCTTTATGTATGTAAGCAGGGGCAAGAGCATGAAACTTTACTCAAACCCAGTGATCTATAGACAGAAGAGTAATAAATAGCACAGTTTTGCTCTTGTTAAAGTTCATTTTATATTTACTTTGGCACTGTGTGTGTGTGCAAAGGACAGGATTTAACAAATTTAGTATGCTTTGCAATGAAAGCCTATTTCTTCCTTAATAGAAAAAGCAGAAAAAAGTTCACATTGTTCCACTGAAAGAAAGATAACAATCTGTCATCAAAAGTTAAAGAAAAATTCCATAATCTAGTTGCAGCTAGGGGGTCAATGGCATGACATGAAGCAATTCCACTTTTATTCACTAGAGGGGAGTGGCACACATGAACAATAGTATTTCATTTAACTATGCTATTTTGAAGAGAATAGGCTTTTTTCTGTCCCCTTAAAACAAACAAACAAAACTGGCATTTTTATTGAATGAAGGAAAAATGCAAAAAGTAAAGAGTAACTGTAGAAGTCTTCATATTCTTCTTAGTAATCCTCAAACTCAGAAGCTTGCACTATTTCTAAAGGTACATTTTCTATTCCAAAGAATGGAATTAGCAGAGTGAACTGCTGTGAAGAAGCATTTGACTTTCTCTCATGGAGTTAACTTTTCCTGAATCTAAAAGGCTGTAGGGGATTTGAAGGAATTAAGAAAGCCCACTACATTTGAAACAACAAGAACATTCCAATAATATTTTAAAATCCAAAAGTTCTTGAAGGAAAAAAAAAAGGTGACTGCTTAATTACCAACAGAAACTCATGAAGCTACAGCATAATGGTACCCTTAAAAGATAAATATCCATGTTTTAATATTGCAGTAAATATAAATAATATTTCCCATCTATTGCTCTTGAGCCAAAGAGCTGCCTGTAGATTAAGTCAGAAGTTGCTGAGGCCGCCACAGTTATTTGTAGTTTTTACAGTTCTATAATGCTTCTACTGCAATCAAGAAAGCCTCTTTGTAATTCCTGAAGCATACTCCACAAAGCTCATCAGTAAGATCTTCACTCCTCAATCAGGCTGTTCATAACAGGGCTTTAAAAATATATTTGTGTTAACTATATATGTATTCTAAGCATATATTTCCATTTACATTTTCAAATTCCCAGATATTCAGGCACAAAATATCTGTTGCTGATCTGCTGATCTGAAGCTGATCTCCACTGAAAAGACACCCAGAACTTCTTGTGGATGTAACACAGGGCCATCAAGGAGTTACCACAGTCATGCTGATGGGATCATTTTAACACTGGTCAGTACTTCTGCATTTCTCCCCTTCATTCCCTGTACAAAGTCTGCCTCTGGCAGTGTGGCTGTGCTGGCTGAAAGAGAAGTGCACCCAGCCACGCAATGCCAGACTCTCCCAGAACAGGCAGCAGCAGCCAAAGCCAGGCACAGGCAAATGCAGACAGAGGAACAGGAACGCCTGGGCTGGAGCCATTCTCCCTCATCATCACCACCAGGACTCAGACAGACATGGGCTGGCTAGTGCCTGGTTCAGACTGGGCCACTCCAGTCCTTGGCAGCTTGGCACTTGTGGATAAAAGAGGCTGTTGGAAAAGTTACCAGAAAATAATGCCAAATGAGCTGCCTCTGGCTGCAAGGACTGGAATAATCCACCAGACTCAGCCAAGAGCCCAGACACAGAACCTGTCTGTCTGCACATGAATAATCACCACAAACTGGAACTCTCTTTCCCTTGCTACAGTTCCCCTGAAGCTGTTGAATCAGAAATCTAATGTTTGCTGTATTCAAAGACCAAAATAGGCCCTTGCTGAAAGATGCATTAGAAATATTTCTTTGTATGAGATCTCACCTGAATGTCCTGGCTCCAGCCTCCTGTCCTGCACAGAAGCACTATCAAATGTGCTCATACCTGAGCTACCTGACATGGAAGGTGCCCAGGTTACAGGATAGAGATTGAATTCCATTTGAAAGAGCATTTTGGGCAAAAGTACATGCTGGCTGATGCCTTAGGAGCACAAGCCAGAATAACATACAAGAAATCATATAAAATTGCTTCTATCAGATTTGCTTGTATCCTAAAAGCCAGCATTGTTCATGAGATGTAAGAGTCCCTCTGTCTTTGCTGTGACATTCCACTCTTCACTTCTATTGCTATTGCCTTTTCTAAAGCTATTGAGACTTCACAAAAGACATACATTAAAAATAAGTAGGATCCTGATGATTTTGAAAATTTTACAGTTGTTATTACTATTGTTCCATCCTACCTTAAACATAGATAAATCATCCTTAACCTTTGAGGGCTAAGGACACAGTGGAGAGAATACAAACACCTATCTGTTTCTAATTTTCAGGCAGTCCTATGCCTGAAATAATGCCAAAAGTGGTGACAGTACCGTTTTTCTATTCCTCTCAAAGAGATGCAAAAATAACCCTCAAATCTTTCAGAAGGTAAGATAGGACTTGTGATCTCAATAGAATTTTTTTATTTCTGATGTTGAAACAATTAATTTTTACATTTTCAAGTTTAAAAAATTAATTCTGTTGCATCTTCATCATTAACAAACAGACCAGAAGGCTGAAAAGGCTTTAATTCATATCCATGGCAAAAACTTACACATTTTTAAAGTAACGATGGACCAGTTGCTTGGCAAGGCAGAGCCCACCAGCAGCAGTGTCAGCACCTCTGGGATAATGAATTTAAGAAGGGCAGAAAAGTATTACACAAGGACAATTGGAGGTGTGAGAGGAGAGAGAATGTGAGAGAGGAACAGCTCTGCAGATACCAAGGTCAGTGGAGGAGAGAGAGAACATGAATGGTGAGGCAGCTCTGCCCCTGCAGCACAGGGAGGTGCAGGGGAAGCAGAGATCCACCTGCAGCCCCTGGAGGAGCCACACCAGAGCAGGTGGGTGTGCCTAAGGGGGCTGTGACCCCATGGGAAGCCCGTGCTGGAGCAGGGTCCTGGCAGGACCTGTGACTCCACTGGAACCCACACGGGATGAATTCATGAGAACAGCCTGTGGAAGGGACTCAAGTCATAGAAGTTCATGGACAGTCTCCTATGGGAATGACCCTGTGCTAGAGCAATAGAAGAGTGTGAGGAGCCCTTCCCATGAGGAGGAAGAAGTGGCAGAGACATGTGATGGAGCAGACCATAAGCCATATTCCCCATGCACCTACCCTGTGAGAGGAGGTAGAGAAAGGAGAGAGTGAAGTTAAGGCTCTGAAGGGTGGGAAGACTTTTTTTAAGACTTGGGTTTAGTTCTCACTACTATATCCTAATTCTAATTTGACTGGTATTAAACGAATTGATTTCCCCCCTTTTTCCTGTGATAGTAATTACTGAGTGTTCTCTCCCTGCCCTTATCTCAACCCATGAGCCTTCCACAATTTTCTCTCCACAGCTGAGAAGGGAAGTGAAAGAGTGGAAGACAACTAGCATCAAGCCAGGGTCAACATACTACGACATTAAATAAATAAAACAAACAAAAAGGGAAAAAATGGCACAAACCAAAACCAAATAGAAACAGCCTTCTTAATCAGAAAAAAAAATCTCAAATAGAATATGATATTTGAAAATTGTATAATGGCCAGATAATGTCACTGACTTACAAAATCTTTAACTGTATCCAACTTTTCCTTTACCATATCCTAGTAAGCACTGCAAAATACACAAAGACTACACGAAAATTTATAATCAGCTTATAATTTTATCCTATCAAATGATAAGGCTATGATACTGAATTATAAAGTTTATGTGCTCTGATATGCTATAGCATATTTTGGAAGCTTTGCATGTTATTGCTAAAATTTGCAAAAGCAGAAGCAGAGGCACTGTTTTGGTGTTATAGCATAGATTTCTGGTTCCCACAGAACTCTAGCCAAACAAAGTTAATCAATAATAATAAATTCTTGCACGTAAGACAGCCATTTTGATTGTGTCACATCTAAACTAGCTCAATGAGAACATGTAAATTGGGAAGGTGCTGAGAAGAAAAGTAGGTTTAATGTCAGTTCAGTTGCTATATCCTCAGAAGTAGTTTTATAACACTAAAATAGTAAGAAAAAAAAACCACACTGAAAAATTTGGACTCTGTCAGTAATGAATATGTGCGATGTACAGCTATTACTTAAAAAAACACTAAGACAAAATGTTGTGGCAATATACTTGAAGGAAAAGAAAGCAACAATGGAATAGCATTTAAGTGGGAGATACAGATTGAGAAATTTACATTGATAAAATTAATAAATTATTTTCACTATGCTGGATGATGGTCTGTACATTAATGACTTCAAGGACCATCAGAGTTAACTACATAATAATATGACCATTTTTATTCAAAATGCTGCAAAAACATAGAAAACTATCAATATTTTAGACAGCAAAAACTGCAAGAGGCAGAAGAAAAATACATATTGTGAAAACAAGAAGGAAGGTACATTAACAAAATATTTTGCTCTCTAAGCTTGGGCTCATGTCTAAATATTGTTTCTGGCTTTTGATACAAAAGACATCTGTCAGTATTTCCAGTGATGGACCATTTTCATCTAGTATTAGGTGGAAGTTAATAAAAACCCTTTTGGCTTCTGTCAAGGAGAAATTAAGAACAGGATGTGCCAAACCTGCAACAGAACCATAGTTTCTGGTTTAAAAATACTCATGGAAGTTCACAACATTAAATAGAGCCAGTTCACAGCCAAGAGAAAGCACCACAATGTTGCCAGCCAACATCTTGGGTCCCTCAGTGGTCTCGCTACATAAGCCAGGCTTTCCTCTGCCAAAACTTAAATAAAACAAATGACATGAGGCAAAATGGGGGTGTCCTAGAACAGCACTTCATGCAACCAACTCAATAAAAAGGATCAACTTAAAAGAAGTATGGGAAAGGGCTTATGAAATTTCCCATTGCTGGCCCTGAGTAACAGGCGTGTTCCCAGAAGCCCTGGGCAGGTGAGCGTTCTGATGGAAGTCACACACACACCTGCTCAGCATCTTTGACAAAACAAGTCACCGAGTAAAGCTCTATATTTGGACCTGGAAGCCTACTTTCAAATTCTCATCTATTTGTCTTCATACTTTTGACTCTACTTATAAAGTATATTTATTACTTTCTAAGACAACTGTCTTAAAAAATAAGATCAGTTTTAATACCATGACTGGGGATTTTCCAAGCAAACTTACTTTTTTTTTTTTTTGCTAGAGATATTTTAATACAATATTGATTACTTCAATTTGCATCTATATCTATTATATGTACATAATGGGTTTTATTTAAACTGAACACTCAAAACAAAATAAGAAAATAAAAGAATGTCATAAATCATATGGAATTCTAATCAGAAGAGTTTCCCATACACACAGGTATCAGAGATGCATGTTGCTATACAGCAACATGCAGCTTCAGTATCTTAGTCATAGTTCCAGACCTGTATTCTATTGGAATATTTTCTATTAAAATACTCTTCTGAATGTCAGTGAATCAATAAATTTGCAACAATTCCTCATGAATCCTAATTTTCCAAATATGTTCAATAGAAATAGTTCTAAATAGTGAAAAAAATATTTTGAGTACTTCAAGTACTACAAAAAAAGTACTTCAAGACTATTGAGGTCAAATCTTTGACAAAGTTTTTTATTATTTGAAAGAAGAACCACCCATTGTTGTGAATTTTATATATAGAGAACTTAAGCATATATCACTGGTATTTGGCCACTGGCTGCACTTGCTGCTGGAGGCAACTGTACTTCAGTGGCCCATGAAGAGACTGCTGGACACATCACTGTGCTCTGTTCAAACACCCTGTACTAAATGTGAAGTGAACATTGCTTATATTGGGTTCACAGCATGCTGTAAATACAGTTTGGGGAACCAACAAATAACTTCATACTTCCTTATTTGGATCAGTAGAGAGTGTATCATCAAAGAATGGAGTTTCTGTTTCATTGCACTCAGAAAGAATGAAGTTCATCTAATTGACAATTTGCAAATAAAACTTCTGAAGGAATTTTTTCCAAGGACAGCTTTACTACATTTTTGGGACTCCAATACTGCACACTCTTTGTTATACAAATATGTTTATAACCCACAAAAATAATTTTCCCTGTCAACAGTGGCACCAGTTATGAGAGCAAGGATTCTTCATGAGGGCACAGTCCTGCATAATCAGACTCTTAACATTTAAGACATGTTTCATCCTCTCCTAAGTCAGTCTTCTCAATGCTACAGAGTCTAAGCACAGATAGGGATTAAGGTGGAAAGGGTTTCTTCTATCAAAAGAATTTCATCTAATACTTCTAGATCCCATTGTGGTTTATTGCATGCTATGTCAGAGATGAATTAAAATTTAAAATACTCTCTTCAAACATGGAAACTCAGGTAACAGCCTGTGGAAGTATTTATAGATATAGCATATGTTACATGCACCCACCTCTATAGACCTCACTAGTAATTGTCTCTAGCAAAAAAAAAAATGCAAGTTTGCTTGGGAAATCCCTAGTCATGCTATTAAAAAACTGATCTTATTTTTTTAAGACAGTTGCCTTAGAAAGTAATAAATATGCTTCATAAGCAGAATCAAAAGTATGAGGACCTCACTTCTCATCTTATATGGTATAACATAAACAGGCATTAAAACAGCAATAAAAATTACCCTATCTCAGCAAGACTGTTAACTTAATTTCTGAGAGAAATGTAACCCAGTTGGCTTTATTGCAAAATATTAGTGTGAAACAAGTTATTTTGAAAGTCTCATCACTGGAGTGTAATTTTAGCAGTGCTACTAGACTAGAAGTAACTGTGTCAGTAGACCAGCAGGACTGTACTAAAAAGCTTAACCAAAAATTATTTTAGAAACATTGCAACATCCCACGCTCAGAATTTTTAATCTATTGTAAAAGCCAGTGAAATACCCAATGCAAGGACAATAAAGTGTTACCCTTTTCAGGGCATTGTACAAAATTTAAATTTTATTAATCCCTATAAGATAACACAGAAGTAACCCTCAGGGGGTTTGTGCAGAAATTGAATTGTATGGGTAATAAGGTCATGATCCAACAACACTTACACATCCTTAAATTTCAGTGAGTAGATTGAACTGTGTACTCAGTATTAAGCACAAATTGAAAGGCTGGTCAACTGACAAATTAGCCCAGCCTCTCTAAAATATATCAGTCATAGCATCAGGCTTAGCCCTTGAAAATCCTCTTGGTAATTTAGGTTCATTCATCAACCGCTGTAGTAAAAAATGGCTGATGGCATCATCTGCAAAAAGTCCTTAATATTAGCACTTGTTTCTATTATGCATCCTCATGAGTTTTTAATAATATTGACAAATCACTCTTAATTCATGACTCTCCTCACTACCTAAATAAGGAATTTTGCTCTCCACCTCTATCGTCAGGCATCAGTCTGAGGAACTAGAGCAGGACAGTTTTTGCTCTCAAGTGGCAGGGCACGTCATGGCATGAATGTCCAGGAAAAGGAGTGCTGCTTCCAGGTATAGCCAGGAATACAAGTGCTATTCCACCCATTGTCAGGCTCGGCATTTAGGAAAGCTGCAGAATGCTCAAATGGCAGGGGGAGTTAACACTGTCAGAAACATAGAGAGGCCACATCCACGCAGCTGGTAGTGCCCTTTCCTCGAGTGAAATACTAATTGGAGATTACTGACAGACTACTAGTAAAAAAAATGTGATAAAAAAGCACAGCCAGCCAAGCTCTTGTTTTGCATTACACACAGCACTGTTACCAACCAGGGCACATCCTTTGTTTTTACCCCTTTCCCACAAAAAGACCCAAGGGGAAAACAAGAGACATGCGAAAGACAATAGCTAACAAAACCCACCTGTAAAAGTATTCCTCCTTGGGATCTGACGCGCTGCCGCGGGAGCCTCGGCAGGGCCTGGGCATGGTCTGTGCTTGCAGGTGAGCGGCTTGGTGCAGAGCCCAGGGACCACCGGGCCGGTCTCTTCTTTTGGGGAGGTCGGGAGCCTTCGCACCCCGCCGGGGTCTGTCACAGCCAGCACAGCAGCATCGGCGCCTGCACATAAAGCTGTCCCTTTGCAAGCAGGAATTGGCTCGTTTCTCATTATGAGGTCAGCATAAGTAGCCTTTTATATACATCTCTCTGTATATATGCAATCAATATATGCTATGTGCGCTGGAGCTGGCTCTGGAAACCTGCCACCCTTGGAAGCGGTCAGCGGGGCTCGGGACTCGCGGTCCGGGCGGGCGGCAAGGGCGGAGCGGCGGCGGCGGCCGGCAGGGACAGCCCGGGGACAGCCCGGGGACAGGCCGGGGCCGGGCCGGGGCTGGCTCCTGGCCGCGGGGCGGGCCATGGGAGGGGACTCGGAAAGCCGGGCACGGGAACGTGGGCCAGGGAGAGAGGCGGGTCGGGAGCTGCGCCAGTGGCGCTTCCCGGGAGCTGCGGCGGCCGTGGGGCTTCGCTCACGGGTGAGCTCCCGTGAGTACTGTGCCTTTTTTTTGGCTTTTTGTTTTTCAAAGAGAAGATGAAATATCAAGCAACGTAGCTGGACACCCGCGATTGTTCCCAGGCTGACGTGAACCAAGTGCAGCGTCGGCACAAATAGGTGCTGCGGTCCGTCCTTCCAGACGCGCTGTGCTGTAAATTCTAAAGCCTCGCCTAGCGTCCTGCTGCTCTCTTAAAATGGCAACAGCCCCAAATGTATTCAAGTGGGAGCGATTTCGGGCCATTATGTATTGCATGCCTGGAGTCAAACTGCCTGTAATCATAACAGTTCAAGACAAAAGGCAGGAATTCAATGTAAATTCATCAGAATCACGTCTAATCTCGTGTCTTTACACAGCCAATATCAGATGTTCTAAAAAAAAAAAAAAAAAAAGATGCAAGAAGTTCAAGAGCACACAGATGCGCTGTATTTATTTTTTTCACATTTCAGCTATGAATATGGAAATTAACCGAAGGTTAGCTTCTCCATAAGTAGTTTTTCATCATATCATGATGAAATTAACTTTGTATTAAGAGAGAGAAAAGTAAAAAGCAGAGTAGTTATCTGGGTCTACTCTTGGCTAAGCCACAATATAAATTCCTTATTAGTTCAAGCTCAAAATGGTGCAATGTTCTTAGATAGGCAAAGTAACTATGAATCTTAGATCAAAGTAATTATAATTTAATTATTAGTCTAACACTTTTGTGAACACTCAATTAAAATAAACAAAGCCAAGTGTTTGCAACTAGTGTTCAAATAAAATCCTGAAAATGCCTGCATTTATCCTGTTGTCATTGACATCTCTGGCACTCTTTTCTGCAGTCCTGTTTCTATCAACAGAACTTCCAAGGACAACACAGGTTCTGAGAATGCCAGCATGATGCAATCACATCATTCCTACTTATCCAAAGGTAACATTTGAGAATTTCTTATTTAACGTGAATAAAGTAAGCACAATACATTAATATTAATTTAAAGATACATTAATCACTCAACCAAACCCTTATTATCTACGTATTAAAATTTTAGGAGGGAGTATAATTCATATCAAACATGGTAACAGTGCTACTGAGGTTTAACCCCAGCAAGCAGTTCAAGCCCCAAGCAGCCACTCGCTCTATCCTCCATTTCCCAGGATCAGGGAGAGAATTGGAAGGGTTGAAGTTAGAAAACTCATGGGTTCAGATAAACAGAATATAAGAGGGAAAGCAAAAGCAAAGGAAAGCAAGAAATTAAATCACTGCTTCCCATGGGCAGGCAGGTATTCAGTCATCTCCAGAGGACCCGGGTCCTATCAAATGTAAAATGACTTGGGAAGATAAAAGCCATCAATTCATATGTTCCACTCTCCTTCTTCTTCCCTCCACTTTATATCCTGAGCATGATGTCACATGGTCTGGAATATCCATTTGGTCAGTTTGGGTCACCTGTTCTGGCTTTGTCTCCTCCTGACCTCCCAGGCACTCCCAGCTTCCCTGACAGCATGACAGTTCAAAAGCAGAAAAGGCCTTGGCTCTGTGTAAGCTCTGCTCAGCAGTAACAAAAACATCTCTGTAGCATCAGCCCTGTGTTCAGAAGAAATTCAAAATATAGCTCTGTACTAGCCACTGTGAAGAATATTAGCTGTACCCCAGCTGAAACCAGGTGCATTCTCCTCCTGCATCCAGAACATTGATAAGTACATGGAGCAGAACTGATCCTAGACTGGATTTCTGAGGAGCACACTCCTAAATGGTCACCAGTCAGTGTAGTCCCATCCAGTCTGTTCTCCACCCAGCACACCGTGAGCCTGCTCATTCCACTGCTGGACAACTTTCCCAGGAGCATGCTAGGAAGGACAAAAATATCAAAAGCCATACTAAAACCCAGGGAAATGTCCACTCTCTTCCCTTCACCCACTACACCGGTGACCTTTCTTGTAGAAAGATACTAGATTAGATGAACATAAATTCTCCCTCTGTGAACTCATGTTGTCTGAGCCTGATGGTTATAAATGCATTTCTTCACACTCTTTACCCCCTTTTTTGATGGCATGGACATCTAAGCAGACACAACATGTATTTTGCCCCCAGCACATCCTCTGAATGTGCAGGGCAGGAGAGCAGGGGCTGCAAGTAAACACCACGTCCTCTCAGAGCTGGGGCTGTTCCCAGTGCATTTCTCCACTCTCAGCAGAACAACACACTCCCAAGTGCTAGACTTTTAACATTGTATTTTCCTTATTAAAGCATTAATTCTTTAAATAAGCCTGAGTCACAAAGCCAGCTAGACAACCCACTCCTAAATCATTGTGCCATCCATAGACTGTTGATGTAAGTGTAGAAACAGCTGAGGTTTCCATTCTCTAGAAAACCCACATGTATTCACTGGTGTTTCCCCAAAGACAGCTACTTTTTGAGGAACACCAGCCAATTTTTGACTCATTCTACATGAACTCTATATTGTAGAGTATACTAATTTTTTCATCATGACTTGATGCAGTACTAAATCAAAAGACTAGTGAAACTTCATCTGAAAATAAGGGCAGTTTCATTAATTCAAACACACGTGTACAGAACAACTTTTACTCCAGAGCCTAATTTTAATTATTAAATTTGAAATATTTGGACTATTATTTTAAATCACTCATAGTATTTAGCAAGACAATAATACTTCATTTGATCCAATACTTTGGAATTCATCATGACTGAGTATTCAACAAGTCATTCAACACAGTAAAAACCAAGCAAAATATTTCTGAAATTTCTCGATTTCACACAGGAATCAAGAAAAGAATTGTCAACAAATGCTGTAAGAGATGTTAAGGCCTCCAGGAAAACACATCTCTGTTTTTTGTATCCAAATCCCTGTTTTCTTAAATTACACCTTTCTAATTTCAGGCACTTAAGTAACACATCTAGATTAAGAGCCCCATTGCTCTGCTTCTACTCTGTACCTCAGAGAGGGCAGTTGCTGGGATCTGCCCCTGAGGCACGGCCACCAGGTTCCTTGCTAACAGATACTTTTTTTACTGGATTAAAGCAAAACAGTGCTAAATAATTTATATAACAATAAACAACTCCATTGAAACCATAACTGGGAAAAAAAAAATGAAAAGGGGTATATAGCTGTTCTGGAGGATGTGATCACCCTAAGAGAGGAAAATTGGGTAGAGAGAAACAGAGAAAGAAAGAGGGGAGAGGAGGGAAGGGAGAAGGGGAGGGGAGGGGAGGGGAGGGAGGGAGGGAGGGGAGGGGAGGGAGGGGAGGGGAGGGGAGGGGGAGGGGAGGGGAGGGGAGGGAGGGGAGGGGAGGGGAGAGGAGAGGAGAGGAGGGAGAGGAGAGGAGAGGAGAGGAGAGGAGAGGAGGGAGAGGAGAGGAGAGGAGAAGGAGAGGAGGAAGGAGAGAGAGGAGAGAGAGGAGAGAGAGGAGAGGAGAGGAGAGGAGAGGAGAGGAGAGGAGAGGAGAGAGGAGAGGAGAGGAGAGGAGAGGAGAGGAGAGGAGAGGAGAGGAGAGGAGAGGAGGAGGAGAGGAGAGGAGAGGAAGAGGCAGAGGAGAGGAGAGGGAGAGGAGAGGAGAGGAGATATAGAAAGACCTGCAGAAGGAGCGTGGAGTCTCAAGGATTCCCTTCAGACATCTTCCAAATGAGAGAGATTAATAATTCTTTATAGTCCACATGAGGCAACTGTCCTTCTGAACTCCATGGAATACTTTACAATAGCTTGTGCATAAAAATAAATACTTTAAAAGCCAAAAGATTTAAGTATTTGTTATAATCATACTGCTTTTTGTATGCATTAAAATGCTTACAGCCACTTATTATAAAACAAAATAGAACAGGCCTTCTTCTTTAGGCTTTTTTTTTTAAATTATAGTAATATCTTTGTGTTCAGATATAAGGTATAAAGTATATTTTTCTTGTTATTCCTTCTCTACCTTTCTCATCCATCTGATGTATTTCACAAGGTGTTATTAGCAACATGGCGTTGCAAAATGTAAAATCTGATACCATGCTGCATTGTTGCTATGAAAATACTGCGTGTTCTGCTGTAAGTGACTCAGCAAATTAACTCCATGCAACATCCTGACAACTTTCCAGTGATTCCTGTAAGAGATATGCCAGGACATCATTGATATCACTTAATGCCATGTACAAAAGTCTTGGGTTTTAATTAACCTGCCTCCAGTAATTATTGAAAGAAAATTGAAGGAGGACTAGGACATAAAACTCCTGCTGTGCTCAGCCTGACAGGATCAGAGCATACACTGTCTCGTTTGCTCTTCAGGGAGGAGAGGACTGGAAAAGGTTCTTTGTCTGCTCTATCAGCTTGACCTCAAGTCATGTCAACAGCCACCTCAATGACTTCTCTAAGAGCTAGTCCAGAGATGTAACTGAAAGAATGAGAAGGAATGAAGAAGAGACATCTTGAGAAAGCAAGATAATACTGGTTAAAACAAAAGTTAAATGAATATGCCATTAGGTGTAGTGGTTGCACACACACCTTGAATGTTATAGTGAAAACCTGCTTTTACTTGGGAATAACTGGAGATTTTGCCTTGCTGTTAACAAGGACTGTATTCTCTTTTGGTGTTGAATTTTAATACACACTTTTTTCACTGAGTTTCCATTCTTTTCTCTGTTGGCATTGAACTCTCATTCCTCCTGGGATAGGAATGGACTCATTACCATCAGATCTGTAATCAAATACAGAAGCACATACATAAGACTTACATATAAATCTCATTTTTATGCTGTAATTTATACATGCATAATATTTCAACTAACTGTAAAGTTTTGATTGTAACTACAGAGGTGCATTTTGAGTAGCAGAAAATT